AAAACAGAGAAAATACCTATCAGTACACGTCTCATAGCATTTCAAGTGGTATTCAGAAAGCAAACAAAAGTAATCATTGACTTTAAGGTCATAAAACATTTGAATGAAAAGTTGGAAAAAGTCAGTGATTATGATAATGACCTCAAAGAGAGAATAAACCTTTTCGGACAAGAATTTGACACAAAATTTGATTTCAAAGGAAAAGGATTTAATGAAAAACAGATTACGTTCGCGCAGTCAGTATTGAGTGAAATGTTGGGAAGTATAGGATATTTCAACGGAAACCAATCGGTTACCTCACCGGGTATGGCATCACCCAAATGGTACGGGCCGTTAGAAATGTTATCAGCCGTTCCCTCGCGACCAGTGTTTCCGCGGCCTTTCCTATGGGACGACGGCTTTCATAATCTGGTGATTCAGCGGTGGAACAGTTCGCTGACACTGAAGATAATGAACTCGTGGTTTAATATCATGAATATTGACGGTTGGATTCCCCTGGAGATTGTCATCGGGAGTGAGTCGGTTGCAAAACACGGCACAATCCATACACAACCAGATACTGACTCTAACCCGCCGTCCTTTCTATTAACCATCGATACAATTATGAGAAACAAACAAATGGATGTCCAGTCCCTAAAGGATATATACCCGAGACTTAAGGCATGGTTTCACTGGTATAACACTACACAAAGTGGTGAACTGAGCAGTACTTATAGATGGAGGGGTAGGGGTGCTAATAAAGATAACCGAGAATTAAACCCTGACACTATGTCCTCTGGACTCGATGACTACCCCCGGGCCACACATCCCACTGATAAAGAATACCATTTAGACCTTCGCTGTTGGATATGGTTGGCCGCGGATATCATGTCACGTATAGCCAATGTTGTTGGAGACTCTCACATGAGTGGTCAATACATAGAGACTGCGGACTTGTTGGCCGACAATAGCCTATTAGAGAGACTTCATTGGTCTGAATCAGACAAAGCGTATTGTGATTA